GTAAAGGCCTTAAAGATGAAAAACTAATGACATGGCCACCTTCTTCACCTGACTTAAACCCTATTGAGAACCTTTGGGCCCTTCTTAAGCAGGAAATTTACAGTGAAGGTAAACAGTACACCTCTCTGAACAGTCTCTGGGAGGCTGTGGTTGCGGCTGCACAAAAAGTTGATTCTGACCAGATCAAAAAACTGACTGACTCTGTGAATGGAAGGCTTGTGACTGTTATCGAAAAGAAGGGTGGCTATATTGGTCACTGAGGTTTTCTGTTTGGAATTTCAGAACTGTTTATTTGTAAATTATGAGTTTGTTTATTATTCTCACTTTAACAGGTGAAAATAAATGAGATGGGAAAATCTTTGTTTTTTATTTAGTTCTAATTAATTCTGCACACTAATAATGGTGTACATGTAGATATTCTCTTAAGAAAGCTAAAACTTCACTTTTACTACTTAAATGTTCAGTTTTGAGGGTTTGTTAACATTTTGGAGTGACCAAGAGCACTGTAGTTGTGCAATAACAAAATTAATCCTCAAAAATACAACTTGCCTAATAATTGTGCACACAGTGTAGTGCTGTTTGAACCTCTGGTTTCTATAGTGTGTCCATGGGTTGGGGAAAAATGTTGATCTTAGTGGATGTACAATAGCACTGAACATAGAAAATGACATGTAAAGAACTAAATTCCTGTCTGTGCGTTTTTTCTAGGTTCCTTTGGGGAGACAGGGGTCCAGACAGATGAGTATGTGGAGTGGCTCAGAGAATACTGCCAGGCCTTCTTCTATGGGCTTTCTGTCAAGTTGTTGCCAGTGGTTTCTGTGGCTGAAACAAGATGCTCCTTCAGAGTTAACAGTAACTCACACAACCTTCAGATTCTCACAGGTAAGTTCTTACTTTTGGGGCTTTTCATCTGTGTTCCATGTAGAGATGTGATAGTGATAGGACTATAATACTGCTCTTGTTTTGTCACTGTGGTTTTCTCTTGTAATTTAGGTGACCTGCTACAATTTCTGGGCAACAGGAAACCAAAAGATGCTTTTTGTATTGTTGGAATCACAATGATCGACCTGTACCCAAAAGACTCTTGGAACTTTGTCTTTGGACAGGCTTCTCTCAGCATGGGTGAGATTTGCCTTCACTAAATGATAGTCTACCTCACAACACTTAATAAAACAAGCATCTCAGTATAGTGTAAATCTTCTGCAAAATAATTTGATATGTCCAGGACATGCAAAGTATCAAAGAAGCAAATATCATTAAACATTACTTGACAGTTGGAGATATAAATGAATCATGCGCCTATTTATGACCATCAGGTTCTGATGATGTAGTGTGTTTGAGCAGCCACTAGATGGTGGTAAAGCGATATACATAGACAATCTAAGAGAAACCTATCCCTAGATTTTCATCCTTCTTTCTTAATTCTGCACAGGCATGGGTGTGTTTAGCTTTGCAAGGTATGATGACAATTTTTACACCAGAAATTATGCCGGGAGGCTGAAGAAACAGCTTCGGCTAAAACAGGGAGACTATTCTGTGTTTGAAGGGTACTACACTCCCCCCATCACCAGCACTCTGCTGCTTCGATCCTGCAAGGTTTCAAACTTACTCAGTTTTAGTACTGTGGACCTTTGAGTGATTTTATCAAAGGTCATCCTGCCCTCCACTTTCACCACTACTACTGATTAAAACACTTGTGTGCTTTCTTTCTAGACAATGACCCATGAGATTGGCCATATGTTTGGAATAAAGCATTGCCAGTGGTTGAACTGTGTCATGCAGGGCTCCAACCACTTGGAGGAGTCTGATCGTAGGCCCCTGGATTTCTGTCCCATCTGCCTTCGCAAGCTACAGGTCTCAATCAGCTTTAACATAGCTGAAAGATACAAGGTAAAAAAAAAAATCAGACAACAAGGAAAAACTCTACCCCACCATGTTCTTTATTTTTTATTGAAGTCTTTTTTTACAGTATATACTAACTCATAGTACAGTGTTGCTCAGGTGTTATAATGGAAATAGTATAATTACACCCAAGTTAAGACTCTCTGGGAAAAGAACTGGGCATTATGCTTCTGCTGATTATTGCTATTTGTTTTTAAACCCTTGCAAAACCTGGCCTCTGTACATTTCAGAGCTTCTGAACATCTTCACCCCAAGTAGATCTCTTAAGTCATCCAATCAGTTTCTACTGGATGTACCTAGATCCAGATTAACACACGGGTGTGATGGCGCTTTTGCAGTGGCAGCTCCCAGACTCTGGAATCATCTGCCATTTGAAATCAGAGCTGACTCTTACCTGGCTCTAAACGTTGCTTACAGACTAGATTCTGTAGTAGAGACATGACATTCAGTTGACAAAGACTTCATAAGGAGACTGAATTTTAACTTCATATGTCACACTAAAGTGCCAGTGAATATTTGAACTCTTTTGTGAGTTTTATTACTATGGTAACTTCCTTACTCTGAAGTCATCTGTACCAACATGTGCTTTTGTTTCCAAATAAGCTTCTAGTTTTTCCATTTACAGAAACTGGAAATACTTAAAGGTAGATTACACCTCATTAGAGGGAGCTGCTTGATAATCTTAAGAATAGGAGCAATTTAAAAGAATTTAAGCACATTTATTTCTTCCCCAATTCATTTTGACAATGACTTACCAATCAATTACCAAATGCACAGACACTATCAGATGTGCTTCTTTTGTCTTTAAGTGACTGCTTGTCTGTGCTTATTAGGCTTTACTGCATTGGATGGAGCAGGATCCGAGTCCAGCAGCCAGACCAGGGGGAGCCTCTGCCTGTCAGTCTGCCCCCCTTTTTCCCAAACCCACTGAAGCCTTTCATACATCCAAACTGTGGCTTTGCAGATGTCTGGACATACTGGAAAAAAGATGAACTATAGTGTTGTATAGTATTATTCTGGACAGAATAGTAGGATGTTGCTCTAATCTTTTCACATAAACCATGCAGTTTTAGTGTTTTAAGATTTCTGCTGCCGTTTGATGCAAAACCAGATCTTGATGTTGTTTTGTGACTGTGACACCCAATTTTAGAATGACCACATGGCCCACTCATTATTTGTTTTAGAGGTATTGGCTACCCATGTTAATATATCTGGAAGTAAAGACTTTTCATGTTAAGACCAAGTAAGAATGTTAACACTGTTATAATTTTTTAGTATAGTACTTGTGTAGTGTAGAAGATAATTATTTATGTAGAGATACTGCTTGCAAACCAATGATTGTAAGATGATGTCATGGGGTAGGACTGGATAAGTCTGACTTCTTCCTACTCCATTCAAGCATGTA